AATGGTATGACTGTACGTGGGAGAATGTAAATGTACGTTTATTTCCCTCGACACCGCGAACTCGACAACAAATGGAAAGAACTCTTAGTGCTTTCCAAAAGGAAAGTATATCAACGTTGGCAACGATCGAAGTTACACACATAGACGAAAGGAAGCCCATATACCAATAAGGTATTAATAACTACACCAAAAAAGGTTAAAATGCAATCCGTAAGAGACCCAATATGGAATATGCTGATACATTGAAATATTTCCAAAAATTGAATTACCACAGGCAACGAAATAACGCCAGCCTTGTCGAGTAGTAATCCATCTATTTATAAATGTATATGCAGTTTTATTTTATCTTGCATGGCGTGTTGTCAATTATTGAGCAATTTATGTATCGCGTTTCTAATTTTTTGAAATTGGAATTCATTACGTGTGCTTATTAATCAAATTTTGTCCTTCATGACTAGATAAAATTAATGCAAGATTCATCACGAATATTAAAACTAATAATTCTTTGAGTGTTTTTTTAAACGTTTACTAATAACGAACATGAAATTATTTTGCAAAAGTCTCTATTTACTTCCCAATCATTGAAAAAGTCATTACATCATGTGATTAAACATAACAAAATGTCAACTTATCTTTATGGTAAAAACTACTAACTAATTTGCAAACTTGAGCAAATTTCAAAAAATGGAATTTTCGTTCAATCAATTTGAGGAAACCTAAAGCGGTCAAATTATTGCCAACTGGGTGACCAAACGAAAGTAACAATTTAACTACAACCATTTGACAGACCAATAAAATTAAGGCTGCATACAAGAAATACAATATCACTAACCATGGGACTACGAAAATGTAAATTTGTGGCAAATCACTATTCTATTTATCTTTGATTTAGTGATCATGCAAATGCCTTTACAAAGCCCATTTGAATCCCTATGTTATCAGTATTTCAAATATTAATATATAAATTTTTTGAAGATAAAAATTTAAAATCTAATTCTACTTAAATTAGCAAGTAAATTCAATACCCAAGGGTGACACATTTCAAAAAGAGCATAGATTTCATTCATTGTGTAAATATTATTTTAGACGAACTCCTAAATCCTATAGCACTGTATGGATTTTAAGGAAAACGTATTAGGCCCATCAATAATAACCTACAATTATCTGCATAAATAACAGCAAAAAAATCAAATTAATACATAAAATTACGAAAATTCAAAGCAATTTTAAACATTTTACACCTTTATGCATTGGTCCATCTCTTGGGGTTTAGGAAATAAAACGATCCCTACAGTACCAATTTAATTTTCACAAAATTCACATAAAATACAAATTTATATGAGTATTAACCATTGAGAATATATATCTTAAATAAATTAAAATCGAAATAATGCCCATAATGGCGCAGTTAATATGGCTGAATAATACATGTTGAAATTAAATTTTATTATCTTATTATTATATACATATTGATTTGAAAAGAAAATCGACTTGAAAAAATTGAAAAGTAACTTGTAAATTTCGTAAGGTGAGATGCCTTATAAGTATAGGCTTTAAAAGCCAGAGTGTTACCGTTGAATGGATTGTAATATTATTTCTTCAATTATGGGGTGTACGATAGACTTACCTCCATGTGGTGCACCCTGGGCAACGTATACTTATACGGCAAAAAAGTCTATTTATCGGCAATTGACTTCTGACTTCAAACTACTATGACCTGACTGTCTGTCATATTCGACCCCTTTCACAGTACTCATCTTACCTTTTCTCTTTCTTTGTGTGTCGGTCTCTTTCACATCTGTAAATCATTATTCTGTCCCTCCCCTCTCGACATTTTGTCACTTTGATGTTCTTCCTTCTCTCTGTGAAGCCCGAAGTCGGTTAAAGGGCTAATGATTACTATCAAAATGCCTGTCATCTGAGATAAATAAATAAATATCTTCAATTATAAGAAATATAAATAATCAATTTAACCTAACATGAATTATGTCAATAAATTATTTTGCATTAAATATAGACACATTAGAGCAATTGAACGTACAGTCTTCATTGTGTTCTTGTCTATTATCCTCCTCTCAACGTCTGTGACTTTCTCCCCAACTTGGCACTGTCTCAAGACCCATTCACCGTCCACTCCTTCTCGGTCCAGTGAAACTATTGTTTTCACTTTGCGTCCGTCCAGTGTCGTTTCCAAAAATGGTTCCTGAAGACGAAATTTCACCTCAGTAATGCGAAAGGCATTGGTTGTTTTTATACAGTATGTTCCAGGACTGTCGGCGACTTCCGATATTTTTACCACAGGTTTAGCCACAATTATACCTTTGCGAACAACATATTCCAAGCCAAGTCTTTCCATAATTTTTTCAAATCCACTACTGGACGTTAGCTTCCAACTTCCAATGAATTCATCCATATTTAGTGAATTATGGTGTAATCATTCACTGTGAATCAATGCCATATGTAGGAGATGTTCTTATTGGTTGATTGGATAGAGGTTGGATAGAATAGTTAAAATTAATGACATGCACCCGTAAACCAATCACAAGTAAGCAGATTTAAAAGTCACTTTCTAAAGATTTCGAAATGAAGTTAATGTATAACTTTGCACATATTCATGCCATATTTCCGTTTTTGGAATCATGCTTTTTTAATTGGAGATGTTATAACTCATTTAGTTAGATTTTAACAGTTGAGTAGATATTAAGACAAGTTTAGAAAGTTCTATCTTTAAATCGCAACAGTGAAAAAGTTATGTAAGCTAGGAAATATTTATTTTCAATATAATAAATATGCCATTAACAGGCAAAATCAGACTTATTCATCTGCACCTTAACTAAAATGGGACAGACAGTCTTTTTACCACTTGAAGAAATACTATGAAATAATTTACATATAATTCTCTTCATTCTTTATTTCTTAAGGTCTTCTCACTTTCAGGGCCCAACTTTAATTTCAAACGAATGTTGCATAAAATTAATGTTGATATATTACACTACAATTATAATAAATATTTTATCCTTCTTTCAACTACACATAAATAAGTGAGAAAGTTGGGACCGCGTCAAGGAATTTTTAATGAATGTGGTCGGACTTCAATTGGTTGTCTTTCTTTATAAATTTCTAGCTTTAATGTTATTCCTGACTTATTTCCCTGTAAAATTGCCTTTCATCTTAATTCAAACTACATTGTTTGATAAAAAATAATATAATTACAATCCAAAAGTGAGTTAATACTTTTATTCAATTACATAATAGTGCCACTGCATTGATAGATAATATCTTGAATTTTCAAACTTAGCAACTTATTTAGTAGGTACACATATTTCAAAAAATAGTATTGCGTGGAATGGAAATGCGATCACACGCTTGCTTTAATCAAATACATTTCCGTGGCAAGACATAGTAAATCACTATTCGTAAATTAGTAGGTTGTTCGATCAATCGCATTCTCCCACTTTTAATAACTGAAAATATCCCTAGTCATTCACTATTTAGTCTGATTTAACACCATTTCCATAGGAAGTTTTGTAATTTATTCAATAAATTTCTGGTCATGTCCATTTACCATAATGTTCTAGTATAATTAAATCTCACACCCACATCTGGAGGTCAGAGCATGTATAGCAGCCCATACAAACATAATAATTCATTACCTCAGCATTATACAAATAATCGAAATAAATTATTGGCCACCCATTCTTTTATTAGATACAAGTGTACACAAGCAAAACGGTTTTATAGAATTTCAACGTAAATTGGCTTTTTAAATAAAGGTGTAGTGGATCATTATTTACGCAGTCGCCGACTATTTGAACTCATATCCTTATGATGTACTTCGAAAATTCATCATTCTTTAAAAAAACTGATTTGAGCAGTAAAAACAATGAATAAATTACTCATTTTTTGATTTATTAAGCTAGTTGAAAATTTTTCGTAAAATGGAAAAAATCATTTAAAAATAACAAATGGATAATTTAGATTATTAATTTTTTGTTTCAATAAAACAAAATCATAACCGTTTTAATTAAGACAATAGTTTAATTCTCAAATTTTCCAACATTTTGCTATATAAATTTATATGGAACTAAGAATAAAAGAATAGATTATTCAGAAAATCGCTTGTGGTCACTTCATTAGTCAAAATTAATAATTCACTAAATAAAATTTGATAAAATCATTTTAATTAATAACTGGCTGATGTATTGCATTAGTTTGGAATTAAAATCTAATAATTTCTCTGAAACAGTGCAAATCTTTAGCAAGTTTATTCATGAAAATTTCAATGTAATCGAAAACAAACGTGTCAAGTGGATGCTGGAGAGTTGATGAGAACAGGAAGGCGTCAGCCATATGGTCACGACATCGGAAATTTTTATAAAAAATACCCGGTTTTCACAATTTCATGTTACTTTACTAATATTATTTTTTGGCATTTGAACTTAATTTTAAGGGTTGGGAAGATTGAGCTTGATAATGATGCAAAACATTCGTTATTTGGTCATTTATATTTAGTTTAAGTGAAGTCCATGACGATTTGATTGACAGGTAATACGTTTATCCGAGTTTTCCCTTTTTTCGTCCCGCTAGAAATAAATAAAAATTTAGTATTTATTTCATCTGAAATACTTATTTTAATGGAGCTTGAACAGGTGGAAATGAAAAAGTTGATTTAACCTCAAGACATTTAATGCGGGTCAAATTAGGAAGATACGCGTTCTAACCTACTGGATTTACTTAAGGCAAGCATGTTTTGATAGATACCTTGGCATTAATGTTAATTGACCTGAGGAGCATGATAGACTTACCTCCAAGTGGTGCACTGTGGGCAACGTAAACTCATACGGCAAAAATTCTACAAACTGGCAGTTGACTTCAAACTATCATGACTCGACTCCATATCATATTCGACCATTTCATAGTACTCACCTTACCCTACTCCCTGCCTTTATGTCTGCTTCTTTTACATCTGTGAATCAGTCTTCTCTTCTCCTCCCCCCTCTCGACTTTTTGTAACTTTGATGTTCCTCCTCTCTGTAGAGACCAAAGTCAACTAAAGGACTAATGATAGTTATCCAAGCACTTGCCATTTGATAAAATAAATAAAAATAAATTTTAATTGACCATGCTTTAATTTTAAAATAAAATGTAAATGATCTATTGTCTTTGATTTAAAGTACAATACAAAAATTATTACACAAAGCCTCTTTCTGTGCATTTTGAATAATTTCGAAGGTTTATTAGATTTTAACTTTTCTGAAAGTTACATTTACCAGTTCAATAGATGCTTCCGTCAAAAACAGCTCACTAAGCTTGGCCACTTGAAATGTTAATTATTTCATGGGCACACTAGTAAAACAAAGGCTGTATATTATACAAGTCATTTTGAATTCCAAACTTGTGAAAGAAAAATAGATGATAGATACTGAAAGTATATCAATGTTTAAAACCAGTGACAAGACGAGAATTTGCTCTAAGTAAGAAATGTTTTCCAAGTCATACAAAATTCCTAATTAAAAAAAGTGATTGAAAAAATGTATTTTTTTCAGATTTTCATTCATCAAAAGAAAGCATTTTATGAAAAATATGGGCATCTTTGATACTCAAATTGCTACATCCTCTCCGTAAGTTGTTCAGAGATCGTAAGAAATGGATTTCTATATGATAAGTATTCCTTAACCACAATAGGTTATTAACGATTTGAGATTTAAATTCATATCCGCCCTCATGATCACGCATTTCACTGTCCAACTCTACTTTGCTTAGTGCCGATTTAAATGAGAATTATGTGTATTTAGTTAATAGCAGGTCAACCATTATGTCATATGGCCTTGATTGTATACTGACGCTAATCATCTTGAAGCATTTTGTTAAATGAAGAGCAATTTAAAACAATGAGAGCATAATGGAACCCGATGACATTGAAGAGGAGGTAAAAAGGAGGCTAATGAAATCCAACAAGTCATAGTATACATACTTAATTATCATTTCACTACTCCTACTCTTGATAATCGATTAAACACAATTCGCCACTTATTGACCGATTGATTACATATTGTAGTCGATCGAACAACTTTAATTTATTTCTGCTTTTGGATTGTTTATTTATTCATGAAACTTATCATTAGCCCCCCTAGCTGACTTCGGACTTCACAGAGAAGAGGAAGATCAAAGTGAGAAAAAGTGGATAGGGGGAACAGAAGAGTGATTCAAAGATGTTAAAGAGGCAGACAAACAGGCACAGAGGCAAAGAAAATGTAAGATTAGTACGGAGGAAGTGGTCGAAATGACGTACAGTGGGGTCATGGCAATTCGAAGTCAGAAGTCAACTGTCGGTTTATAGACTATTTTGTCGTATGAGAATACGTTGCCCGGGGTGTACCACGTGGAGGTAAGTCAATCGCACTCCGATTTTACATTGTAGTAGTCAAGGAAACAGCCTAACTTTTCATGATTTTTAAGATTAGTTCAAAAATTGGCTAAATTTTGACTGCACTATTTTTTCTTAAATAAGTATTTATAAGTCAATTTTATCAAAATTTAATTTATAAAATGCTATTTTAGTCCTCAGCTCCAATATGAAGCAAAAAAAATGAAATTATATTGGTGAGGCCATCCACCAAGAATTAATAAAACTTTGAATGAATGCTTAAAAAACTAAAACAACACGAAGGAAAAAACTTGTAATTTCGTACATTTTTTCCTTTTGCTAACAGTCATTTAGAACAAAATAGGCGTAATTTTTATCTTTCATTTTGGAAATTAAATTCTATTTTGGTGATTGCAACGGGTGGATCCGATCAACCGAACGCATAGAAGTCATATTTTTGACATTGTGAATGTGGGAATCTTTTGTGACCTAGTTTACGGCAAGCTCGAGAAAAGTACACAGAGATGCCGCACTGAACTGTTGGTGGTAGACAGTTGGAAATTTTATTAAGGCCTAAATTGGTTCAACTTTAATAACTTACAGGAAATTTGTTCTGCTTGATTTGTAGATGAAGGTGATTGGAAAATGCGAACTTATTAAAAGGCTCTTATTTAACATGAGGCAAATGCCTTTATAGCATCATATTTGAACGAAAATTCATAAATATGTCTAAATTACTCATTATTTAATTAATTTTTTCAATCTACTTTTTCTATTTTCTGCTCAAAACTTAATTAATCGAAGGAAATTACTTAATTGGATGAAAGTACTTAAACTAATGGTCGCAGAATCTTAACTAAATTGTACTTTAGTCGTCTTAATTATTAGTCGTTTAAAATAATTGTGTTTGATGCTAAATTTCCCGCCAAATCATTGCCCATTTTCAGGTTTATTGAGAAGTCAGGCAACAAAATTATTAAAGGAAATTAATCAATTTTATTCTCAATTTTAACAGAAAAAGTTTAGACTATATCGTATAGGTCTGA